AGCAGCAGCAGCAGCAACAGCAGCAGCAACCGCAGCAATTTTCGATTTTAACGACTTGCCGTTGATCTTTGATGCTTTAATAACGTAACGTTTACATATATATACATCTGTTTTTTTTTTCTTTTTTTTTTTTCAACCAGTAGGCGCTTCTAATGTGCAAAAATTTTCTTCTATTATTAATTGTTTCTATGTTTTTTTCATCAAATTTTTAGTTAACCATCTTTTTTGTTTTCCTTGTTCATCATAGTTTCTATTTGTTTTTGCCTTTGTTTATATCAAAATTTTTTTTTTTCTACCAAATTATCAATGTGAAAGGATCGAGAGGCGAAAGGGGGTTGGGAAAAAGTGATACATTTTCTAAACTAATATTATTGCTTTTTTATCATTCGAAAATTTTTTTACTTTTCAGAAAAGTACTTTTTGGTTTTTTTTTTTGTTTTCTTTGCTATTATTTTTAAGTTAACAAGAATTTGGTAAAGTAAAGAAAACTGTTGATCCTGTGCTGTTGGAGTGTAGTTTTAACCTTTATATTCGGCTAAATTTTTTTTTGATTTTTTCTGTTCCAAAACATTATCATCAGCTGTGCTAAGCGATCACAATTCTTTTACAGAACTGTTATATGCTGTAGAATATTTGGCCTATTCCACGTTAACAAAACGTTTGTTTTGTGCTGAAGAAAAAATTTGGTTTTTAATAAGTTTTTGTATTTACGTTGCATTTATTTAAACGTCTGTTTTGTGCTGAAAAAAAATTTTGGTTTTTAATAAGTTTTTGTATTTACGTTGCATTTATTTTTTATTTTTTATTTTTTTGGGTCGGCAGTAAAAATTTTGTGACAAACAGTTCAGTGGCCACTGCTGGTTCAGTGTTCTCAAGAAATTTTACTTCTGTTTATAGATTGACAGTGTGGGAGAAGTTTTTTTTCTGTTTCGACAGACATTACGCAACCTTTGTGCATGTTATTTTATCTAACCAACGGTTTTATGGTTTCCTTCTATCAAGTTATACCTTTTATTGGGTCTAAATTATAGTTGTGATGAAATTTTGCTCTTTTTTTTTCCAAAAAAAAAAAAAGTTTTTTAGATTGAGTTTAATGGAACAAAAAGTTTGTTGTTAATTTTACCGGTGAAGTTAGATCATTGGTATTAATGTTTGCTGTTGTAGGCCAATCGTTGAAGATTATAGGCAATGAATACAGTTAAGTATGAGAGTTGTGTTTTTCAGATATTGATGAGGACTGTATTCAGCGGTTAAGTTTCCAGTATTTTCAAAAATCTTTTGCTGTTAGTTGCTTTATTTAGTTATGCTTAGTTAGGCAATTTTTTTATTTTTTTAATACTTTAGTTGTTGATATGTATCTGTTCTTAAGCAGAATGTTTTAATATGCCTATCCATTATCGTGAAATCCGTATCTACTTTTGTCTTGTACCGGTATTGTGTAAAAGTGATACCTTTACTCCACAAATATACCTCTACAGTTTTCGAATGTTTGTCTACTGTTTACTATGTTAAGTTTCTCCCTCAACTAAAACTTCTTAGATTAGGGCAAACGTTTTAGTTGTTAGGTTCAAAGTCTTAAATAATAGTTTCGCGTAAACCTCTGATAATCTGTCGGAAATTCGGATATCTGGCTGTCGAGGATCATCCTAATTACAGTAAACAAACGTTTTTGGAATGTCTTTTTTGGATTCATTGGTCAAACTTAGTGAACCATTAGAAGCAGTTTGCATATTCGCAGAAGCATATTCAAACGCCCCAAAAACTTACAGACTTTTTTACTTAAAAAACTTTTGTTACAGTTTTGAATTGCTTCAGGATTTCTGGCCGAACGTTTTAAACGTGTTGAATTGTTTGCAAGTTAGTTAGGGTTTGTTCAGGCACACCTATATTTACGTTACAATTAATCCTTTGTTGCCTATGTTTTTCAGCAATTTCTTTTAATCTGGAAAAAATATTGACGTCGTTTATTTGGATCCGCTGCTGATATTGTATTAGTGATCAAAAATTTATTTTTGACAGTAACAATTGTTGCGTAGTTAATACGAAATCGCATGATAGATGGTATTTTGAGTCCAATAATACTTATGCATCAACGACAGTCAACAGTTTAGGATTCGATTAGCTCTCTTAGTTCACTGTTTTTTTTGTTTTTGCTTTATCCAATAATCATTAGTTGTATATGTATACCTGACTAAAGTGGTCTGCAAAAACTAAAAACGGATCACCAAAACAAGTTTATGCATCGGTGATGGAAGAAGAAACGAAAAACTGCTTTGAAAAACAGGTAAGGTACATAGAGGCGAATCACGTCTTAAATGTCAGAGGTGGGTGGAGCCATTTGGCATCGGGGGCGGAGCTTTTAGAATACATGTTCAAAGTTCGAAGGATAAGCTCATAGATCGTTACGAACTTTGATGCACAAATAGATGGGGCAGTATTTGAGTTACCTAAATTTAGGTTATATTGAGTGACTTTTCCGATAGTTTTCTGCTTGAGAAATTTAGCTGTTGCATAGGGTTACTTGGCTTCTTGGGGATACTTTTGTAAATTAAAATAAAATACCTCTGTAAGCATGAATTTTGATGACGTTATGGGCTTTGAATTTTACTTGATCACTGTACATCTTAGTGAAAACACTTAAAGAATAAATTTTTTTAATTTCAATTGATTGATTTTATTTTATGAATTTTTGAAAGGTGATTATTTTTTTCTTTTCAATGCTAAGTTTTGGAAGTTTACTGTTTTTGTAAGCTGGAAAAATGGGCTAGTTTTTTTTTGGATAGGATTACTAGGTACGTAAGGTACTTCTTTTTTTTTTAATATTTTGTTTTGATTGTTGGAACAGAAAATCTGTAAACTTAATGAGCATTAATCAGACGGGTTATTGTATTATAGAACATAATTTTCATTTTATCATTTTTAACCTGCAGACATCATTGTAGCTATTTAGTGAGTTCTGTCAGTTTGTAGTTCAGTCATATCAGCCTTTTTTTAGCGCTGTACATTTTCTAAACCTTACGGTATTGTGTAGTTAATGATTAAAATTTGGCTTTGGGAAGACATTGAAGCTGTCATTTTGCTCTTCTTAGTAGAGCGTGACTATTGGTTTCTGAAGAAGCTAGACTCAATTCAGAGGCAGTTACTCTGCAGCTATAAATACCTACTGCATCGGCGAATGAGTTTTAAAAAGGTTTAGTCTTATGAAGATGCTAGAATTTTTGTTTCAAAAAAAACTGTTGTAGTGAATTATAATTTTATTGTATTTTTTAATCTAAAAATTTTAGGCTTTAATGTATTTTTTTTTCCTGCAAATTTGAAGTGTACAGTTGCTTTTTTTTGCATCAAATTATTTCTTTTCAACTTTAATATTAAGGTTTAATTTTTGACTAATTTGCCAGTTTTCTATTTATCTGTACACATGAGTGACATATTCATTCCCTATTAATAAAAAAGGAGTTTTGTTTTTTGATTATTTATGTTACAAATTGAAAGTTTTATTTATTTATTTACGTTGCTATTAAACTTGTTAGTGGCTTCTTTGTTGTACAGTTTAAGTTTTCACTTGCTGAAAGTGAACTGCTATGGATTTATCACCAGGTATTTAGGATGTGATTCGTCATCAGTCTATTTATCTACCCTTTCTGTAGCATGTAAAAATTTTCTGCCAAATTATACCGGTTTCTAGCTTTTTGCCAGTCTAATAGCAAATGCAAAAAAATTTTTTTTCTAGTCATTATTCTCATGAATTTAGCGTTGTCACATGAAAGCAGCCTTTTAATTCGCATTTCTTTGCAAGTTATACGGAAATTTAAATGCTACAAAAAAATGGATTTTTTGGATTAATTTATTACCATTTATTTTCTTTAAATTTTGATAACTTGTTAAGATATTAATAGGAAAGTTATTTGCAGTTACCTGGGCGTAGCCTAAAGTGTAATGCCTTGAAAAAATGGGCATTACAGAAAAGGAAAGGATTACAAACCAATTCGACAGCAGCAAAACTGGTAATAAAAGGAAAACTGTTGTAGCAAACAAATTTAGTGGTAACAAAATTATTAGGTCTATAATTTCTTGGATATAAAAAAAATTGGTGTATTTATGTTTGTATATAAAGGGATGATCTGTTAAGTCTGGAATTCTATGATATCACCGTTGTTTGATCTCAAAAATGCATATTTTTGTACTTTTGCTAATTTAAAGACTTGTCGCATTGATATGTCATTAAAATTTTTGTCTTTATTCATACTGAGATCAATCTATGTGAATTCAACTTACTTGACTCTCCTTTACAAGAAAAAACTAGATTTGTTGGCAAAAATTGATTTATTTTTTCTTTTTTTTTCAGAGAGATGATCTTAATAACGGCAAAACAAAATCAAAAAGTCAACCTGGTATAAGACGGCGAACTTCAAGCGACAAACGATCTGAAAATTCCGCTGATGACGAGGAAGCAGTTAAATACTATACGCAGGTAATGCGCCTTATCTTATCTTCTTTATGGAACAGTAAGTGAAAGTATACGAAAGAACGGATAGAGGTATTGCGAGCAGTTTATTTCTTTTATTTGCCCAAAAATGTTTCTTCCTTTTTTTATTTATTTAACAGAACGGTATAGAAAGTACCAACAAATACCGATCGATTTAAAAAAGATAGCCTTCAAGAATCGTTATGTATACTTACGAATTGTTTATTGAGACGGAACCGTATTGGGTTTTTGAGAATTTGCAGTTAATGAAGCTAATACGCTTAAAATAGACGGAACGTTGTGTTCTGTTGGAAATTGCAAAACGAAGACACTTGTTGATAATATGATTGAATTCTGGAAACTTTATGATATTTTTTTGTGGGAAAATTTCAAACTTTTTCGTTGTTGGAGCTACTACTCAATACCCATGGAAAGTATTTCTCGATTAACCGCTGAAAGCACCACTTATTTTACGGTGTGATTTTGAGCTAACATTTTAAATTTGTATTTATCTTCAACCTCAACTGTCGTAAGTGTGGATTGCGTAATTAATAGCTTGCTTTTCAAAATTTGCCTGATTTTAAAACAGTCGTCGTTTATTCGTACACATTTTTTTAAAATTCATTTCACCTTTCTCTAAGCTGATAAGTCTAGCATGTATGTAACTGCCTTTTTAAAATTTTATATGAATTCTAGCTCTTATATGTCCTTAAAAACAGTTATTTGGGCAAGTGTATCAATATGTTTTACGAATATATGCGCTAGAAATGCGGAAGTGGTAGAAGGAGAATTAATTAGAGTTTGAAAATTTGTGTGCGGAATGGGAAAAAAAAGCTGACGAGGAAAAATTGTTGTTAAGAATCAAAATGATTTAAAATTTATTAAATAACTGTGGTGACTGTGGTACACTTCTGAAGTATTTGTGGAATAACATTTTTGCTAGGCTGTTGGCACTTGAAAGAATGAATAGTTAAGTATCCGGCTTCAGGTATACCTAAGTTTTAAGCTTTTACCCCTTTCTGTGCTTCTTTAGTGCGGTTTAGCAGACTGATTACCGCAAAGGTTTGCAGTTGAAGGGAGCTGTTGACGATGCTGTAGATAGTTCTGAGACCTGAGCTGTTTCATGGATACTGCCTGTTGCTCTGCTAAACATCAGTGATAACGTAGCTGTCAAATTATTTTTAATGGGCGTCGGGAAGACGTGGTCGCCGGGAACGGAGTTGAGGGCAATAGCGCTAACTTTTGTTAGCAAGAAACTTTGGCACTCAAACTTACAGTTTTATATTCTAGTTCTGGAGAGCAGTCTAAGAGTTCTATATGAATGGCCGTCTTTTTTTATCCTTTTATGAACGAAGACACGGTTAACTTATGTATCAGTTAGTCTTCTCTATGTTTGGGGGAATTTTATTAGCGATAAACTTGAGTTTTTTACGCTCTTTATTTGCTAAGCAGTAATTTTTTCGGCAATTAATCAGCAGCTATAATTCACATTTACTGGTATTTTATGATAAGCAGTAATCATAATTTTATTCAAAAGCTATTAACAGTAAAATGTTTTTGGTATAACAATAACTTTTTGCCTTTTTCAGATAAAGATAAATCCTGTTACAATGTCTCCAGCTATACTGTTCAGAAACCGGCTTCTGATTTGTAAGGAATGTGAATTGATGTTTGCAACAATGGACGGTATTCGAAGTCACAATGATCAACATTTTATAGAAGCTCGTGATTATTTAGATAACTTTTTAAAGCAACAACAACAGCAGCAGCAACAGCAACAACAACAAAATTCTAAAGTTGATAATTGTGCTCAAGTTTCTACATCAAAACAATCATCTATATTTATGTCAACATTTGCTCCAACTTCTGTTACTGCCCCAAATTTCGTTGTTACAACAGCTCATGAAATGATAGCATCATCAATGGTGGCTACAACAACTGAATCAAATACAGCAGCAGAAATCCCAGTTGTATCAGTGCCTCAGTTGACCACTGACACTGATTCGGTTAATTATTCTGTAAGTATATGGATAAGTTTTTTCTTTTTTTTTTTTTTTTTGCTGGTTCAGAAATACTTTCAAACAAATTTGATGTCAGCAGTATGCTGTTTTTTTTCGCTTTCTTCTCCATAAACTCATATGATTCATTTATTGGTCAAAATAAAAAAAAGAAGCCCATGAATGGTGTAGTTAGCAGTGTTGTTTAAAGGTACCTGAGGATCCTGCAGTACGACTGCATTCAGTTAACAGCAATTTACAGTTGAACGCGGCAGACAGTGTATCCATCGATGTACTGACACCGACAATTATGGGTATTGGCGATAATACTGATATACAAAAGTACATGGAAACGTTTGATGTTCATGAACAAATTGATTTCTTGTAAAATTTTTTTACTTTTTTCTTTCTTCTACCTGTATTATAGGTTGTATTTTAGTTATCTTATTGTTGACCACAAAAATGGGTATTATATTTATATACATATATATTTTTTTCGTAAAAGCGATTTTATTACATCTTGTTATTTGTTTATTTGTTAACGAATTTCATCTTGCATAAGTGTAGAAATTGTCAGAATTTTTATCTATTTGTAACTGTTTAGCAAAGAGAAAAAAAAAGCAACTTTTTTTGGGTTAAATCAGATACCAATTGTTTGGCAAAAGTCTTGCAGAGCAAACTGTAGACGTCAACATCTGGTTTCAACCTTTCATAGTTGCTTTTTTTTGTCTGATTTATTGTAGTTCATGATTACAGAGATAACATCTGATGAAGCGTCAACGAAAATTTAAGTGACTGCGGTAAGAATCGCTGAAAAGTTATGACTTTGTCCTGTTTTGTTCTGCTTAGGCTGACAATAGAAAAGTTGATGATAGGCAAATATGGGTTATTAGGCAATATCAATACTGGTAATACAGGTTAACAGAGACTATTGTCTTCTGTTTTTTTTTCTATCTGTTTTAAACAGAATGTTTTTTTATTCTTTAAAAAAATGAGGGTAGAATAAGACGACAAGAAAATTTAGTTCTTTTTTCTTTTGCTTTTTACTCGAAACTATTTCACTGTTGTTTTCATTGCTATATTTCTATATCAAATTTTCTTTTCAAACATTTGATATCTTTTCGTGACAGTAACCTAATTGTTGAGTTTTTTTGGTTTATAATTAGTAAATTTGTTAAAACAAAAAAAAAAAGTGTAAGGAATGAAATCTTATAGACATCAAAACTGATGATCACTTTTTGTTGATTCTGTTGTATATTGTCGCAGAATTGAAAAAGCAGTTGTGTTTTCACTGATCTCAACCTTTTTTTTTTCTTTTTGCTTTGTTTTGTTTTTATTTCTTTATCAGTTATCGTCTACTTAAATTTTGCAGATAATTAGGAGACGAAAAAAAAGTAAGCGAACGTTGGCACTTCACTAAAATTTTGCTTATTTTTTTTTGTGTGTTTGACTATTCTTCTGAATGTATATATATAGATGTGTGTGTAAGTACTGTATTTTTTTGAACTATATTCTGGTATTTTGAATTGTTTTGCATTTTATATTTGTTCATCGGGAGGCTTTTTTTATTCGTTGTTTTGTTCGTAATTTGCAAAGCGGTAAACTGCATTAAAAGTTGGTGCTGAAGGATGATGGAAAACGGTTAAGTCGTTGTTTTTACTGTTTTTTTATCATTGGGTTATATTATCACTGTTATTGTTATTGTTATTCTTTTCTTTTTTTGATCTGATCAATCAGTTTGTGTTTTCGGAAACAACTGATCAGAGGAAAAGGAGAAGAAGAAAAAGGTTGTCCTGCCAACATCGGTCTTTTTCGTTTTTCTCTCCTCAATTAAAAGCTTAATAGTTTTGTCCTGAATATACGGTTTTTTTTTTGCATAAGTTGAACAAAATTTTTTTAAAATTTGTTTGAACTATCGTTACTGTTATTTCGTGTTGTTATTTGTTTTTGTTTCTGTCCTCTGTCTTTTTTTTCTGAAGTTTTTTTAATTGTTATTTAGAAATTAGTTTAACGTGGAAACTTACTGAGCAGTTAGTTAGTCTGCTGTGCTTAAATTTTTTGTGTAGATTAAGCACTAAAAAAATCATCTAAATACGGAATTTATATAAATGAATAAATATACATATTTATACATATGTACATATATAAATATAAAAGATTTTTAACAACTTTTGTTGTTCCACGTCTAACAGTACCGTACCAGTTTATTGCATTGGATGTTCCTTTAAACATGGTTCGTTGCAGAAATTAATCGAGCTCAGCTTTCAACGATCAGAATGGGCAGCAGAACCATTAACATTATCTCATTTTTTTTTCCAGTTTTTTTTTTTTTTTTTTTTTGCAGCTTCTGACCTGACGTCTGTGGAAGAGTAAGGAAATGAAAATAGTAGCAATGGAAATGATACTGTTCAAATGAGCTTTTTAGAAGGAACAGCAAGATTGCACATGGCTATTTTGAATTTCTGAGTTGGCACTGGATGAGTCTGTTGGAGGAAGTCGATGTCAGCTGATAATGTCGTTTCAATTATTTATTCTTTTGTAGTTTTATAGAGGACACCTCAATTAAGTGAGTGCCTAAAATGCCTTGATTATTTATGCTTCCTTGGCTAAATATGCATTTCGGTTTGTAACATTTTCAACGTAATAGCATCAAAGGAAATAACCAGTTTTTTTTTTATTCATCTTTATTGCTATCCACACCTTTGTTAGCTGTTCAAAGATCATTTGTGTTGGAAAAAAAAAAAAGAAATAAGAATTTTGTGCTATAGTTTAAAAATAAATGACACTTTATAAATAGTGCATGTGAAATGACGAGAAAAATATGAAACTATACGATGTGGCTTATTTTCTCTCACTTCTTTTGTTGTCGTTTTAGGAAGTAATTAATGCGATAAATACGATTAATAGATAACTTATCGAACAGTGTTGTCAGTGTTGTTTTATGGATTTAATTCTTTTGGTTATTACTGGTTGCTGCTGTTGCTAGTGGTTTTTTCGTTAACATTTTTTTTGGCTTCACTATACCTAAATTGTTAATGCAATTTTTGTTTTAAAAAAATTGCTAAAAATTAATTGCAAAAACAAAAAAAAAATGGAATATTGCATAAATAAACAACGCAAATGTTGAAAGATTACAGTGCTTTTTAGCAATTCATCTGATGTCATATTATATGAAGAAAATTGGGAGTTTTTTTTTTTTTTTTTTTTTGTGGCATACCAGTAAAGTAACCAAAAATATTTCTGATCTGATGCTATCAATCGGTTTTCAAAAATTTATTTCAAGAAGTCTCGTTGAGCAATAATCTTTTATGGATACTGTTTAAACCGAATGAATGACTGAAGTAGAAAGCATCAGTTGACATCTCCTTAATCTATTTTGAAATTTTCAAGCATTTTAGTTGATTTTGAAAAAAGTCGAAACAGATCAGCATTGAGATGAAAACTTATACTGATTCAATGAGGACCAACAATGAAAATAGTGAACCAAATGGTTTAACAGTTTATGAATTGCTGAAAAAATTGAAAAAATTAAAGTTGGTTGATTAAAGTTGTCAACAAATAGCTGAAATATCTGTTAGCAAAACTGATTGATTGCAGCAGTAATTTTTTGAAGATAAAAACTTCTTTTTTTTTTAAAAGGCAATTTTGTTAGAAATTTTGTTTGAAATTTATTTACAAACTACTGTTGAAGTTTCTTATCTATTTTTTTTTCAATTCTTTTTCATCTGTTTTATGCATCTTTTGAAGATTATATAAATATTGTCTGAAAATAGAAAAAAAAAAGTAGAAGAAAAAAAAAGCAGTAGCATTTTATTTACTATATTGAATTTTCTAAATCAAAACCTTTAATGCATATATTAGTGACTTTCCAAGCTTGGCGATCAAATTCTTCGCTTTCGTTGATCTTCACCCCCGTTCCACCCACCCCATCCACCATTCTTCGCCTCAATCTCCACCTCCGCTATTGCAACCATTTTCAGATTCAATTTTAAGTCATTTTCTTATCCTGCTTTTCTACACTTTTCTGTGCTGTTGTTTTTGCTTTTTTCTAATTTATGAATAAAAAAGATTTGATAAACAAGAAGAAGAAAAGACTGAAGCTAACTATCTAACAAACTAACTAACCAATGCACCAAAATAGGCCTACCCGTTATGACGTTTATTTGAAATAATCTTAAAGTGACAAGGGCAATAATGACTTTACTTAGTTTTTTCAATCATTTTTTCTAGAGAACTTTTTGCCAAAATGTTATCGGCGAATAAAAAGTCGCTGCACAGTGAATAAGATTAAATATTAAGCTTAGAGAAAAAAAAAAAAA